TCGAATTAGTTATTATATTTTCAAGCGTCGGACCGTGGACTTGCTTTATTCCCAGACGATCCACCGGCATCCTTATTATCTAGCATAAGTGAAAATTAACTATCGTAATATGTTTTTCGTTTGAATCAAATTATGTTACGATTTCTTTCCTGTTGTACTCTTTAAATCGATTAGCTATTCATACTTTAAGGCAGGTATTAACTTTAACTTAACAAAAGAGTACCGTAATCTGTCGACAGAGTTATTATTGGAACAATTGATAATTCGGTCACAAATCCCTTAAATGACTTTTGGAGGTCTTGCCTTGTTCTGGGGATTATAACGAAGATTAAGCAAAAGAGTGATGAACTTCTTAACGAAGTTTTTATTGATGTTTCCATTATCTTGGTTGTTTCTCTTTGAAATATTAAATATATTATTTCTGTGTGACATTTGGTTGATGAAACAATTTACTAAAATTAGCGTGAGGTACGAATTAGTTCAGTTATAAAATACCTTGTTTACAATTGTTTTTTTTCATGAGATTTAAACAATGGTTGTTCTCAACATACACTTTATACGTAATGTCTATAAAATCACCTTAATAGTTTTGATGCATTGACTTGTTGCCTAATATGTAGATTGAATCCCGAAAGTTCACACTCCCAACCGACTGCCTCTGTTTGCTCTTATTATCTACAAGGTTTGACGAATATGAAACGCTAGAATTCCTTCTTGTGCAACGGATGACCTGGAAGGAGCCCAACAAACTTTCCCTCTCTTCACATTTTACCGGAGTCTTTCACAGTCACTCTATCTCCAACGAGATCCGATATATTCCATCAGAAGCTATCCTGGATGACTTCCAGGTGGATAGCCAGCGCCCTTTTTCCCACCTTCCCCATTGTTCATCATCGCTTCAGCACTCTCCATCTGCCAAGATTTCTCCCTCTCATATGAACGATGGCGAACTGACATCTATGCTCCAAAGGGTTTGGCTGCCGGAAGTAGGAGACACTATAAGTACAAATATTTCCGACTCATTAGACTTCGGAGTCATGAATACAGGAGCCATGTTTACTCCCAACAAGGAAAAATCTTCACTTGATGCAAAAGTAATCTCCTCGTGTGCGGTGGTTAGAGGTGCTGGATTTCCTAATGTGTCACATGTTTGCGACGCAGATTTTTTGGAAAGAGCATCGTCCTTTGTGGATAGCGAGATTCAATTTATCGGCAAAGAGGCACCAATGAGTTTTCAAGAGATCCAAGAATTCGAGACCGCAGTTAACTCTTCTGTTAAAGAAAGAAAAGGAGTATGCTTCTACCTTGCCATATTTCAATATTATAATTTTGTTTTTTTGGATGAATA